GACTGTGGCATAATAAAAGCTCCGCTGCTTTACCCCACATATGCACGACCGGAAGCAACGGAAGCAGCGGAAGCGCTTGACTGTGGCATAATAAAAGCTCCGCTGCTTTCGAGCCGTGTGTCACGCTCGTTCAACGCCTCGTTTCGTTTCGACGGCTTTCAGCCTCACTCTGCTTCATTCTACTACATTAATAAATCATTAGCTCATCCATGAACATGATTTCTGCCAGAGTCCCATCGGATTGCATCAGCTAATCACTCAATCAGTGTTTCAGCCGCGCAAAGATGTCAATATATAATGTATTGTAAACAATGTCACGTAATGTCACATTTACCTCAGAAAAACATATTCGGTGACCATAAACTCATTAGTCAGATAGAAAAATAAACTGTGGAGAGGTGCATTTTGCTAAATATATGCACCATATAACATATTCATTATACATTTTACTGTTCTTCAATGTTTAATTTATGTTTGAAAAAAATCCATAATTTTTTTTATGACAGCCACCATTATGTTTATATTTTTTAAAAATAAATACAATTGAAGTAGAAATATTATTATGTAATTGTAACTTTATTATTTAAAAAACTTCATTAAGTGTAATTTTAACAAATCTGTCAATTTTAACCTTCAATATTATAGTAATGTAGTACCAACTTACTCTCATGTATATTTTACAGTATTTAAGTTGAGAGATTTTTTTTTCCTTGAGAAAATTCGGCATGTACTGTACCTGATATGTATCCAAAATCAATATTGAATCTAATCGAATTTAATTGGTAATCGAATCGAATTGTGAGCTTGTGAATGGGAATCAAATTGAATTGTGAAATTTGTGTCAAAACCCAGCCCTTGACGTGACATTGTTCTTCATCATCCACTCCATCTTTGCTTACATTTAAATTTACATTTAGTCCTTTAGCAGACACTTTTATCCAAAGCGACTTACAAATGAGGACAATAAAAGCAGTCAAAACTAACAAAAGAGGGTTAGCCTAACGTGGTACAGGTAGCAATGTGTGTGTGTATATATATATATATATATATATATATATACACACACACATTGCTACCTGTACCACGTTAGGCTAACCCTCTTTTGTTAGTTTTGACTGCTTTTATTGTCCTCATTTGTAAGTCGCTTTGGATAAAAGTGTCTGCTAAAGGACTAAATGTAAATTTAAATGTAAGCAAAGATGGAGTGGATGATGAAGAACAATGTCACGTCAAGGGCTGGGTTTTGACACAAATTTCACAATTCAATTTGATTCCCATTGAATTTAGGTAAATGGGTGCAGAGCCAGTGGTGGTTTTGTTGGCAAACATTAATGCCTTGAATTTAATGCGAGTAGCTACTGGTAGCCATTGCAATTTAATGAACAGAGGTGTGACATGCGTTCTTTTTGGCTTATTAAAAATTAATCTTGCAGCGGCATTTTGGATTAATTATAGAGGTTTAATAGAAGTGGCTGGAAGACCTGTCAAGAGAGCATTGCAATAGTCCAGCCTGGATAGAACAAGAGCTTGAACAAGGAATTGTGTTGCATGTTCTGAAAGAAAGGGCCTGATCTTCCTAATGTTGTATAAAGCAAATCTGCAGGACCGGGCAGTTTTAGCAATGTGGTCTGAGAAATTCAGCTTATCATCAATCACAACTCCAAGGTTTATAGCTGATTTTGAAGGAGTTATGGTTGATGAGCCTAATTGGATGGTGGAATTTTGATAAAGTGATGGGTTTGTTGAAACCAAAAGCAGTTCTGTCTTAGCCAGGTTGAGTTGAAGGTGATGGTCTGTCATCCAACAAGAAATGTCTGTTAGACATGCTGAGATGCGAGCAGCTATCGTCGGCTCATCAGGGATAGCAGGGATATGAAAAGCCATGTTTCTGAATGACAGAACCTAGTGATGCCATGTAGACAGAGAAGAGAAGTGGTCTAAGTACTGAGCCCTGAGGCACAGACAGATCTAGCAAAATAAATATAGATTTGGAAGCCGCTCTTGCCAGTCTTAGGGCTTCAACAACTGAAAGCAAGGCAGTCTCGGTCGAATGTCCACTTCTGAAGCCAGATTGGTTGCTGTCCAGGAGGTTGTTCTGTGTGAGAAAGGCTGAGACTTGGTTGAACACAACTCGTTCAAGTGTTTTTGCAATGAAAGGTAGAAGGGAAACCGGTCTGTAGTTCTCTAAAAGAGTTGGGTTAAGAGTGTACCTCTCCAAGATACTTTGAAGGACCTATCTGAGAGGTAAGACTCAAACCCCTGGGGTGCAGTTCCTGAGATGCCATTTTCCAATAGGGTTGACAGGAGAATCTGGTGGTTCACTGTATCAAAAGCAGAAGACAGATCCAGCAAAATAAGTATAGAAGATTTGGAAGCCGCTCTTGCCAGTCTTAGGGCTTCAACAACTGAAAGCAAGGCAGTCTCGGTCGAATGTCCACTTCTGAAGCCAGATCGGTTGCTGTCCAGGAGGTTGTTCTGTGTGAGAAAGGCTGAGACTTGGTTGAACACAGCTCGTTCAAGTGTTTATGCAATGAAAGGTAGAAGGGAATCCGGTCTGTAGTTCGCTAAATTAGTTGGATTAAGAGTGGGTTTCTTAAGAAGTGGGGTTATATGAGCCTGTTTAAATGTTGAGGAAAAAACACCAGTGTGAAGGGATGTGTTAACGATGTGAGTGAGTGCAGGTACAACGGCAGGAGAAATGGCTTGAAGGAGATGAGATGGAATAGGATCAAACGGACAAGTATTAGGATGATTGGAAAGGATGAGTTTAGAGACTTCTGCCTCAGAGAGTGGAGAGAAGCATGAAAATGAGTATATGTTTGCTGGCAAGATGTGTTTGACAGTTTGCGGTGTGGCAAATTGTGGAATGATAGTAAAAAACTTTTTTTCACTTTGCTTGCAAAATTATAGGAAACGATCCTCATTTGATCCTCAAAATGAAGTAAATAAGTGAATAAATAAGTTAATCAAATAAGTAAACTATTGCACGTGATAGAATATAGGACAATACATGACTATGAAGCATATCACCCAGCACCAGCCCAGAACTACTAATAATTGACAGTTGCTTCTTTTACACTCTTCGTCTTGGATTTAACACCGTACCCACATTTTTATAGAGTCTGCCTGAAAGTATCAGGAAGGCTGTTGTCTTCTTGGAAGGTCGATTTCCACAACTGACCAATCCTTACGCTGTTGCGATGACATCCTACGCCATGGCCAATGCCAACAAACTCAATAAAGGCATCTTGATGAGACACTCCACCCAAAAAGAAGGTCAGTCACACCAACATCAAAAATGTGTTGATATTCATACAACATAGAACAATAAAATAAACAATAAAATAAGAGTGGGAATTATGAATTGTAGCTTGTAATTACAGCTGCTTGTTGGTGGCATACCAGCAGCACAAATAGCTCATAAAGAAGCCAAAGCATCAAGCTCAATGGTCGGGATCAGCATATGCGAATGGTGCTTCATCTCCACATCTTTTAATAATCTTGTGTTGTGTTTGAAACAGCCGGTCGGTCCTGGACTGTCCCTGGACAACATCATCACTCACTAGAGGCGACGGCTTATGCTGTGCTGGCGCTTGTGAAGGACAAAGACTTTGATAAAGCAGGAGAAGCAGTGCACTGGCTGAACAGACAACAGACTCACTATGGTGCTTATGGCACCACACAGGTACACTAACACCTCATCATTTGACTGTGATAATAGCTGTACAGATGGTGGAGCCAGCATTTGACAGTAGGTGCAGCTTGAGCTTTCATTAATGAGAACAATAGCATCTGTAAATATTGTTACTACCTCATTGTTATAGGGTGAAATTGTACTCGGTTACAAACATAACCTCGGTTCCCTTTCGATACTACACTCGTACTGGGTCTTGCTAGACGCTATGAGAACAGTACAATCACGCCGTGCCGTGGAAGAGGAACAACAATGGTAATCCTTGTCTTTAGCACCTCAGGGCCCAAGAGAACAAGGACAATAAATCCCTCCAGGCTAACGAGCTAAGCCTCACGAAGGCCTCACCCAGCCGAGTGATCATTCCAGAAGACTTGCGCAGCCTCAACACACATGGGGGCCGAGAGCGCACAAGTAAGCTCTCTGATAGGTCTGGGCATATTACATACAAACTGCACTCAGAGCGAACTACGTACCAGATAAACAGAAAGAACCCTTGCCAGCAAGGCAGGGACATCAAGGTTATAGAACCTAGCAAAAGTGGATGGCGAGGCCCAGCCGGCCTCCGCACAAATTTCTGCAATGTTCACGCCGCCAGACCATGCCCACGAAGAGGCGATGCCTCTAGTTGAGTGGGCTCGTACTCCAACAGGGCATTGTAGGCCCGTGGAAGAGTAGGCGGTTTTAAACGTCAGGGACCGAAGATCGATGAACTGCAGCGGCACGAAGGGAGGACCCTTCAGGGCCCTCAGAACAGTGGGCAGTTCTCACATAGGGACAGTGAGAGGCCATGGTGGATTTAACCTCCTGGCTCCCCTCAAAAATTATCAACAAGGTTGTTCTTGACGATCGATTGGCCCGTTATAGGGGCATGAGAAGCCACTATTGCCGCCACATAGACCTTGAGCGTGGTGAGGGAGCATCCCTTGTCCAACAGCTCCTGCAGGAAGGACAGTATCACCGATACGTCGCAAGTGAGCGTGTCCAGATAACGCTGACCATTTAAGGGCGTAGAGGCGTCTTGTCGTCAGAGCTCTAGCCTGAGAAATGGTGTTCAACACACAATTTGGGAGACTAACAGGCTCCCGTCGAATGGCCACAGGTGCAAGGCCCACAGCTCTGGCCTGGGGTGCCATATCATCCTTTTCGCCTGGGAGAGGAGATCTCGCCTCAGAGGAATAGGCCACGGGGATGCTATTAGCAGCTGCGACAGCTCTGCCATCCAATGTTGGTTTCTCCAGAGCGGGGCCACCAGGAGCACTTTGCGTTTCTGTTCCCTGATCTGCCTGATTACCTGTGGAATCAGGGTAACTGGGGGAAAAGCGTGGAGAAGGTGGTTAGGCCAGTTGTGGGCCAACGCATCCTTGTCCCTGGAAAAATAGATTGGGCAGTGAGAATTGTTTTCTGAGGCGTAGAGGTCTACTTCCGCTCTGCCGAAGACTTCCCAAATTTTCTGAACTGTCTGCGGATGAAGCATCCACTCCTCTGAGAGGACCTTGCTTCGTGACAACTTATCAGCTCCTCGGTTCAATATGCCCAGAACGTGTGCTGTTCTCAGCGAACGTAGGTTTAGCTGGGCTCATTCCAAGAGGCACTCTACTAGTACAAGAAGTCGCTTCGAGGATAGTCCCCCGTGGAGATTTATGTAGGACACCACCGTCTTGCTCTCCGAATGGACCAAGACATGATGGCCCCTGAGGTCTAGTAGGAAGGTTCGACAGGCCCGCCATACCGCCAACATTTTGAGGCAGTTGATGTGCAGACTGCTTTCCGGTATCGACCAGTGGCCGAACATTGGTTTCCCTTCGCACAGAGCTCCCCAACCTGTGTTGGAAGCATCTGTCGAAACCACCTTCCTCCTGTAGGCCATTCCCAGGGGAACTCCCTGTTCCATCCATTGAGTGTTCATCCAGGGGGTCAGGGCCGTTACACAGGCCTGGTTTACCCTGATAATCAGGCGTCCATGACGCCACCCATGGGATGGGACCTGCGGTTTCAGTCAGTGCTGGATGGGGCGCATTCGCATGAGGCCCAACTGTAGCACTGGAGATGCTGCAGCCATGAAGTCTAGCACTTTCTGAAACCTCTTGAGGGGGTGAGAGGCACCAGCCTTGAAGGAGGCTGCGAGCCGCCGTATGCTCAGGGCACGCTCTGTTGTGACCTTCGCTTTCATTTGAGCCGAGTCAAATACTGTTCCCAGGAATGAGACTCGCTGGCTGGGAAACAGTGCGCTCTTGGCAAAGTTCACCCTGACCCCCAGGCATTCCAAATGGCTGAGGAGAAGAGCTTTGTGAGATAGTGACTCCGACTGGGCCAGAATGAGCCAGTCGTCGAGGTAGTTGAGAATGCGGATTCCTGCCTGTCTCAGTGGGGAAAGAGCCGCAGGGACAGCCAGGCCCTGTGTATTGATAAGCCACTCCCTCGAAGGCGAATCTCAAGAATGGCCTGTGATGGGGGGCCGTACAAGTGTAGTATCGGAAGGGAACTAAATATTCTGACTGAGTTAAAATTCTACTCTTATTAAATTGAACCATGTTAATGGCAGGTAAACCATGCATTTTAACTACCATGCATTGTACCTAGCTACCATTGTAAAAAGTAACTATATGGTTTCTATGGTATTTGTTATGAAAATCAATAGCCTAAACACATTTATAATACATGCAAATACACATAAGTTGCTATAGCTTAATTACTAGAAAAAAATACTGTAGTTATATTTCATTACTCCTTTAAATCCATTTGTATAATAACAAAAACATTCTTGGCCTGATTAACCAAGATTTCCATAAAACAAACAAAACAAGCACTTCGAATTAATTAAATATCATTATGCAGACACATAATATTTAATGGTAGTTCCTGATTTCTTAATTGCATTTCTTAGTCTACACTTTCAATAAAACATTTGCTATTGATTTGTAAAAGATGCTTTTATGCAAGTTTTAATTGCTTTTAAACTGTAATGACTAGCAGGCATGACCAGTGTGGTGTTTCCAGCACTTCAAAGCAGTGATTCATTTTGCAAAGCAATTGATTCAGTTTATTCAAAGTTTCAGAAAGCTGTGTTTCTCACATCATTACAGTTTAGTTGCAGCCTGGAGTCCTGTCTTTGAATGCTTTTCTGTCTTTTCTAGGCGACCATCATGGTGTTCCAGGCCGTGGCAGAGTATCGCACACAGGTGAAGGACCGGCAAAACTTCAATCTGGACGTGGAGCTGTCCGTTGCAGGAAGAAGCACACCTGTCAAATGGGCTATCAGAAGAGAGAATGCACATCTTACACGATCAGACAGGGTGAGGAGTAACACAATAAAATCATTCAAAATGGTTCTAGCTCCATATTTCAATTGAAATCTTATTGTTTTATTATATACATTTTGTTGTTCGCCATCATGTTTAATAAAATCTTCACGTATCTCTTTTATATCATGGATTTGATTATTCTGATGACTCGAGTACGTCTGCATTCACTCAACAGGTGAACATAAACCAGGACTTCAATGTAACTGCTAAAGGAACTGGAAAAGCCATTCTCTCAGTGAGTGTTCATGAGCGTTTATACAGTCAACAGCAAGATTAAAGCGTTTGAACATCTAATCTGAGACGTGCTGCTGTTTTCAGGTTCTGACGCTGTACTACGCCAGACCTGTTGAGAAGAAATCTGACTGTACTTTCTTTGATCTGACTGTTAAAATGGAGAAAGACAATGAAGGTAAGACTGAGCTCCTGCCCTTTCTGTGGCACTTTCCATACATGACGTTTTTCACACTGCAATTACAGTAACTCCAGGTTATTGTTGCTCTATACCCCATATTTAACCCCAGGTAAAGGCAACAAATGACACTGACACTGCAAATATGCAAATTAGAATGTTAACTCAGGGTTTAGGAATGTAAAATGTGAAATATCAGTTTTAAAATACGTACAGATGAATTGTTAACCCTGGGTAAATTATGAGCAGTGTGAACGTGAAGCAACATAATCTAGAATTCAGTTAACCTTGGGGTTTAGAATGACCCAGGGTTATTTTTAAGTGTGAAAAACTGTATTTATACCCAACCCCTTATTTTAATATAGTATATAATATATTTTGTTTCCCTTTAGCAAAACAAGGAGCCATTGCAAGTTACAACTTCACTATGGATTTCTTGTATGTGAACCAATATCCTAATAAGTATATTTTTTGGTCATTAAATCATTTATTTGTAATTTATCAGCATGTGCTCATGTTGGCTGTTTTTAAACTTGCTTTGTTTACTTGGTTGGAGCCCGAGTTCGATCCCCCCTCACTTTTCTCACATTGGCGGTATGTTTGCATCATGCATCATGTGAGTACTAGTGAAAACTGGTTACCATTGTGATTAGATAATGACTCTGACAGAGACTCCAGTTTCACTGGGCTCTAACACGGATGACACTTGTTTTACAAATACAGAGACAAGTTTATTCAGAGATGAGCAGCTCTGCGTCACTACAGTATAATAATTCTGAAGTCAAACGGACTCGGGTTCAAACCAAAAGCTCTAGTGTGAAAACAGCTTTAAACACACAGAAGATGGAGCAAAACTACAAAACCAGTTATTAAAATCTGCTCTTGCTCTCCATCTTCACAGCTACAAAGATGATAAAACTGATGCCACCATGACTATTCTGGACATTGGCTTACCGACTGGATTTGAAGTTGAAGAAAGTGATCTTAAAGAGGTATTGTGGTGATAAACTGATGCAGTTATGTTTCTGTATATAGAAGAGGAATCTAACAGTCAAACTCTGGAGACCCCATATTGAAATAAATGGGAAAAATCACCCACATTTTGATTTTGTTATATAATTTGTCAGAATTGTCAGCTGAAATGCAGAAAACACACAAAAACTTAAGGGGTGATTCCACAGCACATCCACAATGGCATAACCCCCAAACCCACAAAACCCTCTCATAAGAAATGAAAAAAGTAAGATGACACGAGTGGCTCTCCCTTACATTAATTGTCAAATAAAAATCAGCTACAATGAATAACACACACAGAAATGATGGATTGACACCGCTACACATCCATGATGGAGAACAAATGCAAACACCATGTGCTTCCATATGTCAATATATCATTGCATATTCACTTTTTGTGTGCATTGCAGACTGCATATCAGAATCATATTTCACATGACATTTTAAAGAGGAAAGAATAAAATGCAAATGTAATATATAGATCTAGCCTACGACTTTCAGCTGTGCAAAAGAGAACACTGTTGTTGCAGTATAAATCCAGATACAGGTTGTTAAAGAAATGCAAAAAAGACAAACAATCACAAATCATATGCAAACATAATAATTATTTTTTTTCCAACAAAAATTGTTTTAAATTGTATTTTTTACTGTATTTGTTATTATTTGTCACTTATTATTTGTGCAAATGTTAATGTAGGCAGTTTTTAGTGTGCAATATGATAAGTAATATCATATAATAAAATTACTTTGAGTTCTGTCTCAATAGGTTTCTCACAGAGAGACAGAAAGAATTGTTTTCAGAATGCACCAGATGCATAATGTGGGTCAACTACAACCTGCAGCAGTCACAATATATGAATATTACTCACCAGGTGAGCTATTTAAGTTCTTAAATTAACATGTTTATTTAATGCTATTGATTTAATTCATGCTTTGAAAAATCAACAAATTTAGTCATGCACATATGTTATGTAATAAGTGATCTCTGTACCATCAACACAGCAGTTGCTGCTACAGGTAACTAGGGAAGGGAATCATGAGGAAATTAATAATTCCTGTATGAATTGCTATTAACGATTACTTTTGTGGAAGTATAAATGTATTAAAAAAAGCAAATGAATAGCCAAATGTTGATACTGTTTTGAGGATAACTTTTAGGTCTTCTTTCTTGGAATCGATTCATTAAAGTCAATTTGTTGGGTATTTTTTTTGTTCCTAGTCCTTCACAAAGACACTCTGCAATGTCTGAACTGTACTGAGCGCATCCTCGACACAGCCTGTGCGTGAGGTGTCTTCTTCTTCTTGCTTTACGATGGATCGCAGATTTATAAGTGCATTACCGCCACCTATTTCTCAAATGGAGCATTGACACTCTATCTACAATCTCAATTAGGGGTGTCAGTGGTCCACTTGAGCGATAGGTGGCGGTAATGCACTTATAAATCTGCGATCCACCGTGAACCAAGAAGAAGAAGACCATTAACCATTAGACACTTATGCTGATATATCACAGCTTGTTATTAAAATATATGTTTTGCTCAAGTTAAACTGAATGTGTTAAATGTTTATCAAAAATATATAAAAAAACAACATGAATAGAAATATTTTTAAAAGAGTTTTCCTTTTTTTCACCATGAACATCCTTTTTTTTAAATTGATCCTTACAACTAAAATTATGCATGTGCGTCATAAATGCATACAGTGCAGCTAAGCCGGTCATTATGTCTGTCTTGACTTCACTCTTCTGTTGTTTTAGCCTGCAGTACATCTTTGGAGAGCATACCTGGATTGAATACTGGCCTACAAGAGCGGAAAGCCAAACTCCAGAACACAGGGAGCGATACATCGGCATCACTGACCTCCAGAACAGCCTCAGCAATTATGGATGTGCTACATAATCATATAACACCTATTTGTTAATTACAGAACACTCTCATTAAATCTTAAATAATATTGTTTGAGCCAAAATGCTTTGTTGTAATTGTCAAAAAAAAAAGGTGACTAAATGAAACTCGAAAATTTTCATTTTAGACTCCTGACTATAATTATGGTGTGATAAAGAGTGCCTTGCATGAATGTTCTGATTATTCTGATGTTACTCAAATCAATATTTTGTGTCTAATTATTTACCTATGTGGCAAGTAGCTGTGTAATAAGCAGGATAATGTACATGCAGCCGGTTGTTATCGTAGAATAACCACCTTCTGGGTGATACAAGATCACCTGATCACCCTATCGGGGGTTATTCTGCGATAACAACCGGCTGGATGTACATTATCCCTTAATACATACAATAAGCTAATATTGTCCTGTAAAAATAAAATGCAGCATTTAAATCATGATTATAATTTATAATATAATATAATAAAAGTATAAAAGCCTGCCAGAAGTTTAGAACCGTTACAATTATTAATGGTTTTAAAATAAATCTCTTCTGTCCATCAAGGCTGCATTGATTTGATCAAAAACAGCAATATTGTGAAATACTATTACAAATTTAAAAAAAAGTTTTCTATTTTAATATATTATAAAATGTAATTTATTCCTGTGATGCAAAACAGAATTTTCTGCATCATTACTCCAGTTTTCAGTGTCACATCTTTCGGAAATCATTACAACATGATTTGCTGCTCAAGAAACATTTCAAACAGTTCTGCTGCTTCATATTTAGTGTGGAAATGGTGATGCATCTTATTTTTCAGGATTCTTTGATAAATAGAAAGTTCAGTGAACAGCATTTATTTGCATTTATCAAATATATTTATTCAATTTGTTAAAGTATTTATTAAATATAAATCTTTTGAAATATTTTAAATGTTTTCACTTTTCACTCACTTTTCATCACTTTAATGTATGATGAACACAATTATTAATTTCTCTATCTTTTTTAAATCTTAGCACAAATGTTTGAGTGGTTGATAACAATGTTTTTTAACATTGATAATAATGCATAGTAAATGTTTCTTGGGCAGCAAATCAGCATATTAGAATGATGTCTGAAGGATCATGTGACACTGAAACTTCTCTTTGTAAACAACAACAGATTTATGAACGATTCATGTTCCGTTCCCAAATGCGAATTAAAGCAACTCAGGCCGGTTTCACTCCGGTTTCACAGAGCATAGTGGAAGCAGCACATGCCCATTGAGCTTCCACACTGCCAGCGTTTTTTGAATATGGATGTTCATCAGGGTCAGTCCACTCAGTCTGTATTCCAGTATTAGTCTAAAGGCCACCTAAACAGCAAAACAAACTTAAAATCTTATGTTGCCACACAATTACTTGTATGTCTTCAAGTCGTGTACCACGAATATACAAACTGTAGATTTACAGGGGTATTTTTTGATCTGTGTATGTAATAATACTGTTCCGTGAAATTAAAAGGCCTGTCCTTAATATTTTCTGTCGACTCTGGCTGAGCTAGCTGTAATGTGCCGTTATTTCAGTTACTGTCAACTTCCTGTTAGCGGGATTCAAACTGGTCTCTCATTTTCACAAAATTCTATATTAAGAAACTGTCTGTAAATTTGTCAGTTTGTAAAGTGGTTTCTTTTATATATCCTGAGACCCAGAGGGAAAAGTTTTTTTTTTTCATTACATTGTTTGAAGCTTAAAGGAATGGTTGATTATAGGTGCTTTCCAAATTGCGTACGTATTCACTATTCTATGGCCATGTACACACTGCAGCTAAATTCGGTTCCCTTTCGAACATTCTCTGACGTTGTGTATGTATGGGGAAACTCCTGTTTACACTGGTACTGAAGCCTGATTTGTTCACGTTTGTGTAGCTAGCTGCACAAACCAATGGCGCTCTAGCCTGCCAGAATGGGCGCAGCCGACCTCTCTATATTCTATATATTCTCTATATATTCTCTCTCAGTGAGCTCGGAGAAAGAAACGGTGAGTCGCGGAGCTGAGCAACCAGGCTGTGTGATCTCACACCGATATAGAGCCTGCGTGTTCACTCTCCCCTACCACTTTGATCCGCCGGTGTATTTTACACGTAAGGATCAGCGCCCCATCATTACATCGAGCGGCTCAATCCTTCTAGGTGGATTGGAAGCTGCTTTCACTGCGAAAGCATGAGTCTGTCCCCGTTTCGCTCGTGGATCACTTTCTTCAATGAAGGCAACCCTGCCCCTCCCGTTTCTCCCCTCTCAACTGCCTCGGAGGACAAAACAATGAACTCACGGGTTGAGCGATCAGGATTGAGTTATTCATGCCGGTACAGGTCCCACGTGCTTCACTCTCCATGCAGCTCTTTGATCTGCTAGTGTGTTTTACATCTAAAGATCAGCGCCACTCATCTGCTTCAAGTGGTTCGATCTTTGTACGGGACAACGAAGCTCATGTTCTTCGGTCCGAAGTACAAACATTGCTTGCAAAAGGTGCCGTGGAAACGGTACCTCTAGCGAACAGTCAGTCAGGCTTTTCAGCCTCTACTTCCTCGTGCCGAAGAAGGATGGTGGGCTCAGACTAATTCTAGATCTCAGTCTTCTGAATCGCTCTCTTATCAGATGGCCATTCAGGATGTTAACTTTGAAACAGATCATCGCGCAGGTTTGTCCTGAGGACTGGTTTCTGACAGTGGATCTGAAAGATGCATTCTTTCACATCCACATAACCCCCTGCCACAGACCATTCTTGAAATTTGCATTCGAGAGAGTGGCCTATCAATATGCAGTTCTATTTGGACTGTCTCTGGCCCCTTGCACTTTTACGAAGTGCATCGACATGGCGCTTTCTCCTCTGAGACAGATAAGAATCCGCATCCTCAATTACCTCGATGACTGGCTGGTTTTAGCCAGATCAGAACGGGAACTAATCGCACACAGATCACTGCTGCTCGGCCATATGGAGCACCTCGGGTTGAAAATCAACCCAGACAAGTGTCATTTATCTCCCAGACAGCGAGTGGTCTTTCTGGGGACTGTGATAGACTCTGCCCGGATGCGGGAATGGCTTACGCTGGAACAGTCCCTGGCTATTCAGCGACTAGTGGCATCTTTCGAGCCAGGGACTTCACGTC